ATCTGTCGCGTTGATATTAATTTTTAGCTAGTGCCGTCCTCATGAATTTTGGCAGGGCAGATACACTAGGGCTCATCGGGGCCAGGCAGGAAGGTTATGGAGCTGAAGGGGAAGTTCCTTTTTGCCCAAAGTAAACTGACTCACCTCAGGGACAGCTGCTGCCTGTGGTCTGAACCTGACCATAATGAGCACGGCTAGTCAGGAGGTAACTGTATTAAAAGGCCTCTCTGACAGGACATGTTAGTGCTCAGAAGCCTCCTGGAACATCACCAGCTTTCATTTTATTAGTTTGCGCCAGGACACGGTGGTTTTTACAGACCTGGGTGGCCCGTGTGTTCGTGGGATACATCACATCTCCATTGCTTTTGATGGTCAAAATGACAGAATTAAGAGTTGTATGGCAGCCCATGTGCATTGCACCGTGTTTGTGTGTGTGTTTGTGTGTGTGTGTGTGTACTACTGTCAGGTACACAGGCTTCTTTCTACAGCTGTGATGTCACTCTGGATAGAATCAGGTCAGCCAGTTCCTCCAAGGAACCGAATAGAACACAACGAAACAGACAGAAAGAAAAAGAGAGGCTTTGTCAGCGATTGAGAATCTGATAAGAGAAAAAGCTAATTCCCAGTAAGCCCAAGATGAAAATAGAAAGTTGCACCCTTTCAGTTAGAAGAACAGAGGCGCGATTTTATAAACAAATGTGCTGCATTTTAAGGCTTCTGATGCAATTATACTAGCCAAATTCATGTCACATGCATCTTTTACAAAGAGGACAATCCCAGAATGCATTGTGAACTCAGTGGGAAATACAACATATCTCAAAGTGAGAATGGACTCTATACATGATCGCTTTAACCGCAATGACCGCTGCAACTTATTACTATCATTTTAATATTTAATATAATATGCTAAAATATTATGTTTACTATAGTTAATAATATATACAATATATTTATATAAGTTGTAAGTTGTAATTGACAGTAAATGTGTGATTGGCTACTTGGGCAGTTTATATATATATATATTAGGGCTGGGTAAAAAATATCGATATCTCGATATTAATCAATTCTCATTTTTACGGAACGACATCGATTCTTAAATCCCAATAATCGATTAATCTAGCCTGTTTTCAGTTAATGGATGGAACATTGAAGCACACCTCCCATCCAAATATGTCTTGTGCTTTGGGACTTTTAATATGAAACAAAGTCTCAGATTTCAAATTCTGTCCATTGTATTGCAGTATTTAAAACTTAAATTCCGTTTTGACGCTGTTTAATGTGAAGTGACAGATCGCTGGAGCGCCTCAGTTCAACAGACGCGGCAGCGCGAGGCGCACGTGAACTGATCATCTCCTCCACATTAATACCAGTTTCAGCACAAAATAAACATGACTAAACATCCGAAGGTAAGTTAAAAGAAAGAATACAATTTTACAATCCTCAATCCTACAAGTCTCATGTTATCGCTCAATCTGTGTTTCAGCCGTGCAAAGACATCAATATAACGGCTTCTAAACAATGTCACGTAACGTCACATTTACCTCAGAAAAAAACATATTCGGTGACCATAAACTCATTAGTCAAATAGAAAAATAAACTGTACAGAGGGGCATTTTGCTTAATATACAGTATGCACCATATAACATATTAATTCTATTTTTTACTGTTCTTCAATGTTTCATTTGTTTGAATAAATCCATCAGTTTTTTATGACAGCCACCATTTAAATGTTTATATTTAAAAAAAACGAATTGAAGTAGAAATATTATTATGTAACTGTAACTTTATTATTGTAAAAACGTCATTAATTTGAACCTTCAATATTATAGTAATGTAGTACCAACTGACTCTCATGTATATTTGACAGCATTAGTTGAGAGATTTTTTTCCTTGAGAAAATTTGGCATGTACTGTACCTGATATATATCCAAAATAATCAATATCGAATCGAATCGAATCGAATCGGTAAGCGAATCGAATCGCAAGCTTGTGAATGAGAATCAAATCGAATCGTGAAATTTGTGTCAAAACCCAGCCCTAATGCTTGCATAGAGCGCATTTTAGCGAAAATATGTGGGCAGTTGGCATGCATAGTCTATTATCAATTAATGAAAATTATCAGGAAAGAAGTTAAATATTATTTGTACTTTTACTCAAAACTTGTGTGAGCAAGGTATATTTATGCTTATGCTATCACATTGTTAGCTTAGCAACATGCTAACGCCAAACTCCACTTGTGCACTTCATGTTAGAAGTTCTATTTTTATTTTGCTACCTACATAGAGCGTTCCAGATCAATCCCTAATGAGGTTCTGTTTCAGTTAGCATGCTACCGTAGAAGGTAACCATCTAAGAAGACTTTAGGCAGCGATGTAGCTCACTGGGTTTTGGAACAGATCCAGTGAGTTTCTGTATATTAGAGGTCATAGAGAAAATGAGAGGGAGGAAAAGAAAGAGAGGCACAGGGAGGATGTGTTTGACACACACTTCACCACTGACACACCAGTAGGGTTGCCAACCGTCCCGTATTAGCCGGGACGTCCCGTATTTTGGGCCTAATTGATTTGTCCCGTACGGTACTTCTCTTGTCCCGTTTTTTGACTGCTGCGCTGATCTAACCCCTGACTGATACAACAGCAGCAGTGCAGATCACTTGAGAATGATCACCGATACCTGTCATCATCCAATCACAGCCCCCCTCACGCAGTATACGTTAAGTAAATCAGAAATCGTGAACATAACTGTTCGAGGAAGGCTGCGCAATCCTCTGCTGGCTCGCGCTAACGCCAGTTCCGTCCGTGTTTTCACTTCAGTAAATCAGTTTTGGTGAATACAAACTACGTGATTATTTTTCATGAGTCCAACATCCCGCCGCGCAAGAGACGTGATCAGTAAGGGAAGTCGTCTTTCACTATTGTAATGTTGTTAAATAGAGAAAAACATTTTATATTTAAGTAACTAATATCATAATTTTTAACCTTGGACCTTATTCTTGAAACACAAAATGACCAATAAAAAGGTGTCAAGCACCAAAAGCAGCCCATATTAAATCTATAAGCTGTCTTTAATTGAAAAATACGCATTTTCATGCATAGGCTACTATGTGTGTGTGTGTATACACGGTCACTCACCCCCCCGTAAGGTGATTGTCCCGTATTTTAATTTTCTGAAGTTGGCAACCCTACACACTAGCACACGTGGCTAACGCTAACCCTAAGACATTCTCCAGTCCACTGCCTCGATTTGTCAATACACAGGAGGCTTTGACCATCTCAGCTGCCGGTATGAGATATTCATCCTCCCTCTCACTCCGTTACCACAGATTTGACCTAACAGGACTCACTTCCTGAACCAGCTGCACTTGATTGATGGCCAGATTTAATTATTTGTGGTGCTTGCTATCACTATCACATCATTTATATATTACAATTTAAAAGTTTAGGGTCAGTGGGGGTCAGAAGTTTAAGATTTTATTCGGAAAGAACATTTAGACATTTGACATTTAGAATGTCACAAAAATGTTATTTCGAATAAATGCTACTCTTCTCAAATTTTGAAAATCAAAGAACCCTGAAAAAAAAAATGTATCATGGTTTCCACAAATCTATCAAGGAGCACAACCGTTTTTAACATTGACAAAAAATACTTCTTGAGCATCAGATAAGCATATTATAATGATTTCTGAAGGACAGTGTGACGCTGAAGACTGGAGTAATGATGCTGAAAATTCAGCTTTGCCATCACAGGAATAAATTACATTTTAAAATATATTCAAATAGAAAGTAGTTATATTAAATTATAATAATATTTACATTTTACTTCAGTTTTTTTTTTTTTTTTACTATTTTTTGATTAAATAAATGCAGCCTTGGTGAGCAAAAAGACTTCTTTCAAACACATTAAAACATTTTACTAAATCTCTAAACTTCCCACACCATTTGCATGCTAAAAAACACAGTTCACCTGGTAAACACCCTAGCATTATGATGCCAAGTTTCATCTGTTTGAGTACCACAGATCTAGGGATTGTCATGAAGAATTAAAGGTGTATTTGTGAATAGTATGTATCTGTAGGAAGCATTGTCCAAAGCTGTCTAAATACTAACTGTGTGTGTTTTCTCCTCCAAACAGGCAGGAGGCGCTATTGGCAGCCATCAGCGAGAAGGACGCCAATATCGCTCTTCTAGAGCTGTCGTCCTCAAAGAAGAAGAAGACTCAAGATGAGGTGGCTCTGCTGAAGAGGGAGAAAGACCGACTGGTACATCAGCTCAAACAGCAGGTGAGAATATCCAACAGGCTGGACATCGACATCCCAGACCAAGGCACGAGGCAAAACCATAGACTAAAATGAACACAGACCTCAGTCCTCCTAGTTTCCTAGTTGAGTTCTGCAGCCTCACCCACAGGAATTACATTGGTGAAACTTAACCAGACATTCGTCAGCCTAAAAAAAAAATTGTCCCACCTCAAAGGGACAATTTAGACTTTATAGCTCAAGTAACAAACATTTTTGTTTCACTGACGAATTGTGTTTTAACCCAAATAGGAGCCTCGCTTTTCTGGTTTTGAACTCCCTGACTCTCTTTCCCTCCAGGCTCTCATTGTGTTTTACTGTAAAAACACTTTGCGTTTGTTTTTACAGACTTAAGAGACGAGTCAAAATTATCGTGCGTCATAATTGAAAGCATGCCACAGATGCTGTCCATAGACGTTAAAGTTGACAATAACCCGCAATATTCTCTTAAGAGGGGCACGATTGCGCAGAAATATAAGATCACACAGGATATCCTGATGGTGTGTTCATAGTATCGGTAACCAGCTGACCTTGCTGTCGTAGTTCTGTTCAGCAGTTCAAGGAGAGGCTAAAGAACAAGTTCTGGAGGAGACATGTTGGGAACGAGATCCCAGAGTTTGGAGATGCAAACAGGCTACAGATGTCTGGCCGCAGACCCGTCAAGAAGGGCAATTTTAGGATTATTTGACTCCTCCTCCAGATTCCCACAAACCACCTGCGAATGCATGCACACTAGTTTATACACACACAGACTGCACTGGTGTAGATACAGTTTTCATTTAGAAATTGTTAGTAAATTTCACAAATAATTGGATTAGATTAGATTATTGGAGTACGCTTTGAAAGAAAATATTATTTGTGACCCTGGACCACAAAACCAGTCATAAGGATCAATTTTTTGAAATTGAGATTTGTATATCAACGAATAAATAAGCTTTCCATTGATGTATGGTTTGTTAGGATAGGACAATATTTGGCCATATAGATACAACTATTTGAATATCTGGAAATTAAAATATTGAGAAAATCGCCTTAAAAGTTGTCTAAATTAAGTCCTTAGCCATGCATATTACTAATCAAAAATTAAGTTTTTATATATTTGCGGTAGGAAAGTTACAAAATATCTTCATGGAACATGATCTTTATTTAATATCCTAATGATATTTGGCATAAAAGAAAAATCGATCATTTTGACCCATGCAATGTATTGTTGGCTATTGCTACAAATATACCCATATGACTTGTGACTGGTTTTATGGTCCAGGGTCACATTTAATTCATTCAACTGAACTTGGTTTGTTACTTGTCATTTCTTTGTAATTGTCTGTGAAATTTACTAGCAATTTATGAGTGAAAATTGTTTTTACGCCAATTTCATATGCAATGTGCAAAGAAGCGGCATTGAATTAAACTTAAATTTAAGTTGAAAGACCGAAATAGTACTTTCGAAAGTTTAATGCAGTGTAGCTGCCATTCATCCAGATGAGTTTAATACGCCAATTAAAATGCACATGTATTTTGCATTCTCATTTCCAATACAAACTGGCCACACGCATGTGTACCAAACCCAGCGGCCACAGAAAAACAGAGCAGGAGGACCAACACGCACATCCTCACTTTAGCTCCATTCATTCTCACGGGCACACACTCGCGCCGCTGGAAAATACCCCTCCCTGGCTGTTTCTCTGAATGACAGGCTATCAGCGTGTTGCATAGCTGCAGCATTCCACAGGAAATGGGTGTCAGTAGTGCAGATAGCTGTGGGGCTCAGCTCTCACCCACAGCCCTGAGATCAGGAGAGCAGCCGCATCCCCCTCCTGCTCACTGTCAATCACAGCGGGGGGGAATTTGGTTAAGAGCCGGTCAGAGACCGGTTGCTCTCCTGACATACTAATGGTTGAGGTCAGCGATAAAGGTTGCACGCGGTGGTCCTAAATCAGGTCTTTTTGGGCAGCTTTACTTCAGGGTCAAAGTTAGGAGCCAACATTGGAAAGGTTAAGGACCCTCAGTTCGCCTGTCCCTCGTGGACACGTTTTTCCGCTCTTAATTCATAGCATTACAAGCAGTCATTTGGCATTATTTGTCATTTATAATCATTAAGATTGCAATTTCTGTTCTGTGGGAAATGGATGGCCATAACAAGCCCAAAGGTGTTTGACGTGGCCCAGGGGAAGGGCGAGTGCTGCCTACCTTTGCGGCCTCTGGATTATGGTTGGGGATCAGGGTCGTAGGGTTTGACTGACGGGATGAGTGTGACATAGTGGTATATAAATGGAGTATTTTTCTTTCGGTTTTTGAAGAGACAGATGTGCATAAAGATGCAGGGCTGATAATGGCTCGGAGGAGGGAAAATTCCTGGTCATACTTGTCAAGTCTTGTCAAAAAAATAAATAAATGGTGTCAAAAGTGTGGCCTTGCACCATGTCATAATCAGCTGCAGTGTGATAGTGTCAAATGATGCAACAAATGCATTTAACGAAATATATCGCGTCCATACTGCTTTTTGTTCTAACCAGCTTTGATTAGAAGTTTGAATTAATATTTAAATTTTCACTTAATTTTTAATATAAGGAAAAAAAAAAAAAAAAAAAAAACCTTTTTTTTACTCATTTTACTTATTCAAAAATTACTTGAATTATACTTTTTTTTCCATAATGACTTGTATTTCATGATATGTTACTAAAATGCTTGACACTGTAGCATTATAAGTATTTATTATTATTATTATTATTATTATATGAAACATACAGTATATACATAATTATAAATTCTACAGGAAGTTGTGTTTATATATATAAGAATACGTTTTATATAAGTTGTAAGTATTTAATAATAATAATAATAATAATAATAAATAGTATTTAACAAGTATTTTTATGTAAGATTTATATTTATAGAAAGAGAAAAGTGGTGTGTGTGTGTGTGTGTGTGTATATATTCTTTTGCATTATATATATATATATATATATATATATATATATATATATATATATATATATACAGCAATAAATGTGTGTATAGATATATATGTATATGATATATGTACATATATAGATATATACATGTAACTATATATTTATATAGATAAAACATTATCAAATGACCTCATAACATTGCCTAAATATAGAGTGTTGCATCTAGTTATCATATTGCACATAAAAAGTCATTTTTCATGCATAATTTAATTTTGACTCTTCACATTTCACAGTCCAATCAAATAACGAGTGAAAAACGAGATGTTAAAAATTATGGCTGATATTACTTCTGATTCATTCATCAAATTAGGAATATCATATGAGGTGTTTATATATATATATATATATATATATATATATATATATTTACATTTTTATTTCATTTTTAATATAGAGCTTCCCCAAGAAAAATGCATTTTGGTGATCTCTAAAGAATAGTTCATATTTCATGTACTGTTTTAGTTAAAAAAATGTACTCGTATCACTTAAATTAAAAAAATGTATAAATATAAATTTTTCATTACTTGTATTTCATGATGAGATATTACAGAAATGCTTGACACTGTAGCATTATAAACAGTATATGAATTTATTATACATTCTAGTTCTACAGGGAATGTTAAAATAGTTGGTATCGGTCATTTTCTAGTCTCTCTCTATATATTAAATATCAAATATCTTTCATATTATTTATTAAATATCAGTTATCTGCTCGGCTATGTTTTGTCACTTTGTCTAGCATTTTGCAGTTGGACAGACTGACTTGGAAAAAGGCCTTTAAAACTCATGCTGTCAATGCTGGTTAGGATGAAGTGTAATATAGTACTGAAAATGAAAATTTGTGCAAATTTTATCCTAAGAAACTTCAGCCAATCACGTGGCTTCTCGCTTGTTTTATTCCACTAGAGCAGGTTTGGATGTACTCGGTGCGTGATAAATGGAGCCCGTCATCATGTTTAAATTATATTTTCTAGACGACGAGCAGATGGGACTATTTGATGTCTAACAAAATGCTGCATAATCAACAGCCATTACTGCGATACAGAGATTTGAAGCGAAGGAAATGAACTAGAATGAAACCGCCAAAAAGGAAAGATGAGAGAAAATGAGCAGGGAAGGTTTTAATAACAGAGAGAGGCGAGAGGAGACGTCCCGTATCTGTTTTTGTTTTGGGATGCATCACTCTTCAAGATATTTCTGATGTATTTTAGGGAGAAAAGGAACTCTCTTTGTGTTCTTTTCTTCCTCCGTTTTGTTCTTTTTCCTCTCTGGTCTCCGTCTGTGTGTCTGTCAGCCTCTGTGATGATGACAGTGTAAAAATAGGACCGACGCCTGGTGAGCAGAATACGTTTTATATAAGTTGTAAGTATTTAATAATAATAATAATAATAATAATAAATAGTATTTAACAAGTATTTTTATGTAAGATTTATATTTATAGAAAGAGAAAAGTGGTGTGTGTGTGTGTGTGTGTGTATATATTCTTTTGCATTATATATATATATATATATATATATATATATATATATATATATATATATATACAGCAATAAATGTGTGTATAGATATATATGTATATGATATATGTACATATATAGATATATACATGTAACTATATATTTATATAGATAAAACATTATCAAATGACCTCATAACATTGCCTAAATATAGAGTGTTGCATCTAGTTATCATATTGCACATAAAAAGTCATTTTTCATGCATAATTTAATTTTGACTCTTCACATTTCACAGTCCAATCAAATAACGAGTGAAAAACGAGATGTTAAAAATTATGGCTGATATTACTTCTGATTCATTCATCAAATTAGGAATATCATATGAGGTCATGCACAGTGTGTACTCTACATATTGCAAATTTAGTAGTAGACTATTCATACAGTACATTTGCATACTGTGCACACTATACATAGTCCTGAAATATTGCGTGTTATTAGCACAAGAACAGCAGCCGGCGTGGGAGGAAGACCAAAACCTCCACCGCAGACCATC